CCCATAGAAACTTATTTTATTTATATATATATATATATATAAAAGAAGTAGAGCGAGGTGGGGCGGAGATTGAGACGGGATCATAGTTTCATTTTTGCACAAAAACATTAAACTCTCGAAACATGCATTAATATTATGCATATCGTTCGACCAATATTCGTTTGATGTATACAAAGTTATCTTATAAGAAGCATAATTATCGTAACTTTATAATCATATAAAAGAGCGAATGTATAAATATCAATTTATTATTATGATGCAATACTGAAGAACGACGGGCATGCACAACATTACACGTTCGTTTCACATAACATACAACTCCCACAAATTTTAACCTTTGTTCAAATGGCTTTTAACTTACCCAAATTATTTAGAAGAGGATTATCCAAACAATCTTCTAAACCTAAGTCACCCTTAATCCCTAAGTTATTCAATACTTTCCTGAAAATTCTAAAATTAGAATTCAACATAAAGCTTTTAATCCAATTGGAAAACTTTAAGGGTTGTTATTCGAAAGCTCAAAATATTTCTTGGATAGTACAAAATACTACTTCGATGTCCCGAAGCATGTTCAGCTGCAAGAACTTGAGATGAAGCACTCTGAGTAGGAAAAGAAAGATCGACCCTCTCTCCCTATCGATCGAGCTGCTTTACCGAGGTGAATGAGGTAAGACTCGAGAATCCAACCAACTCAAACTATTCAATCCAAACTATAAATGTTGGGTTACGTTAGATTTTTTTTCTTCTTCTTTTGTTTGGGTTCAGTTTAAATTTTGAAAAACCGAAAATCGAGTCATTGCAATTGATATTTTTTTAGTCGGGTCAACTCGACTAATCCAAAAATAGAGTTTTCAATCTAACCCAACCCTATTCTACTTTATTATGAAAATTAATAATATTTGACATTTGTAGCTGATGTTTGTGATCTGCTTTGATTTGTGAATGTTTAATATATAAGTTTTATGAGTGTTATTATGGTAACTTATATAAGAGAGAACTAAGATATTTTTTTTAAATAATTAAAAAAAAAAAAACACCAACTCAACCCAACCTTAAAATAAAAGGTTAAATTGGATTAGATTGTGAACACTATTCGGGTATTTTGGATCACTAATCCAATCCAACTCAACCTGTGTATACCTCTAAAATGCACAAGCTTATCCTTTAACATCGAAATAGAATGGGAACTCGAATTTGGAGTCGATTGGTTCACGAACAAAACAAAAGGAAAGACAAGCAATGTACGGAGGCTAGGGCACCACCACTTTAGTGAATATGGTATGATACTAAAAAAAACGAAAAAATCTTTTCTGAACGAGTTAATGACTCTCAGAGGCATTGCCTGTGATGCTTATTGAGAAGCCTATCAGCGTTTGCATGGGTCAACGTTGGTTGATGAGCATGACCGTAGAAGAAGAAGAAACAAAATGCAACCCACGTTTCCAAAACATGCATGAAAAAATGGAGGTTGATTGCCTAGCTTGCTCGACGTCAGCCAACGTTTCACCACCGTATGTCGTCGATGGTCACTGGACAAGGCGCCTCAACAAGGGCATGAACCATTTCCAAAGAAACAGAAATTAAATGAAATAAAAATACAAAGATTTACGTGGGTTTAGAGAGAAAATTTTCTTACATCCTCGGGCGGCAACCAATCTCAATAATCAAAGTGTATATCTCTCACTCTCGCACTCCAAAATTTCACTCAACAAAGTTCCTCCCAAATATCATTAGGTAAATACAAAATAACATTCAATCTCAATGCTTCCCAACCATCTTAGACAACTCTTTAACACATAGAAGTATTAATGTCATACATGAATCAAGATGATTCATGTATCAAATGGAAATGAACAAAAAAAAAAAAAAAAAA